GGGTTCTCTGTATAATGGCTCAATTCTTGTTTTTTTCAGGACCCGTACAATATGCTAGCCCCAAAGCCAGCTTCAGGGACCAAGGAAGACCCTAATTTAGTCCCTTCCATCACCAACAAGCGAATAGTGGGCTGCATTTGTAAGTACCAATCACTATTTCCTTATTTTTCTTTAATATGCCCTATTCTACAGGATGTCCGTAAACTGCTTCACATCTTTTGTGGGACTGTATGTGTGTAAAGAGGATATGTTTGTAAAAAAGTTGTTCTAAGGGTCCTGGCCTTCTCAATCCTCCTTATACTTGAGTAGGTCATCCTTACTATCACCGGCATAGAATAGCTAATGCTGGCTCACTGGAGATGCAACATGAAGGTGTATTCATCCAGAAGATACTAATTGTACTTGCTCTTTGCTAGATACCATTTTAGGCGCTAGGGTTGCATATCAGAATGACCCTCCTTTGGGATGATACACAGGCAGGGGAACTGTTAGAACCTATACTGACTCTGATATATGGTCAGTTTACTCGCAGGTAAACTCTGGGCCTCCGTTTCCTCATCTGGAAAATGGGAGGATACCTTGAACTGATCTCTCAAGGTGTCAACCATAACTTTGTGTCTCAGAGGTGTCTGAGGAAAAGAAATTCATATTGCCAGTCTCCTCTCTCCTAGACTAGATGCCCTTCAACCACTTTTTCCTTTTAGGTGAAGAGGACAACAGTGCTGTCATCTGGTTCTGGGTGCACAAAGGCGAGACCCAGCGATGCCCTAGCTGTGGAACCCATTATAAGCTGGTGCCCCACCAGCTGTCCCACTGAGCCCCTGCACTGACTCACTCAAAATGTGCTGTAAAGTTTCTTGTTTCCGATAAAGACTAGCCATTGCTTTGGCTCCTCCCACAGTTGGCTGGTCTTATTTCTTTTCTGTTTTTGGCGAAATATGGTTAATTCTTTTATCAGGAATAGCTATCTGTTACTATTAGCTTGCCATCCACTCATGTACACTGAGACTGACAATGCCATAATGCCATGATTGGGACTACCTTGTACCGGGGAAAGCACGTGCTGTGGAGTCGGGCTGACTGGACTTGTAATATTAGCTGCATCACTTAACTTTGTCACTGGGAACATGCTCTTCAAGGTACGTTATATCCACAAAAAAGATAAATACCTTGCCAGGTGTCAGAAGTAATAACATTTATTAAGAGTCTGGCAGATGGTAAGTCCTCACAGTATTGTTAGAAAGGGTGACTTGAGATTTTGGGGGGCTTTGAGGGACCCAGGTTCAAAGCCCAGTTATTGGGGGGGTACAATCAGTAAAATCCAGAATACGGGACAATTCTAGAAACCAATGACCAGGTTTTGTCAACAACACATTGCAAGGAGAGGGGGGGGAAAGGGAGAACCTACAGAGTAAAATGGATGTGGGAGCAAGAACAGTGGCGAACCTTGTTTGGATCTTGATCTAAAAAACCAACTACAGCCCTAGCAGGTTTGGTTTAGTGATAGCGCGTCGGCCTGCGGACCAAAGGGTCCCAGGTTTGATTCTAGTCAAGGGCATGTGTCTTGGTTGCAGGCTTCTCCCCGGCCCAGGCCTTGGTCATCAGGTTCATGCAGGAGGCAACCAGTCAATGTGTTTCTCTCACATTGATGTTTCTCTCTCGTTCCCTCTCTCTTCCACTCTCCCTAAAAATCCAGAATATCCTTGGGTTCTCGTTAACCAACACACACACACACACACACACATACATACACACACACACTCCAACTATAAAAAAGAAATTAGAATATTTTAAACTGTATTATTTGATGTTTAAGGATTTATTACATTTTTAGGTGTTAATGGAGTTAGTTTTTTATGCTTTTGAGGTACATACCGATACTTAAGGGTAAAATATGCCCGATTAGCTTTAAAACAGAAGTGATTTGGGGTGTGATTGATCCCTTGTAGCTAGGTAGGTATGAGGTCATTGTTCTTTCTGCTTTTGTGTATGTTCGAACTTTGCCATAATAAAACAGCACCAAAAATAGTTGAGCAGAGAAACAGCCCAATTTAGCCACATTATATTTGTGACGATAATTTTCAAAAACTATGTTTACCTATAAAATAATGGAAATAAGTACTTTTCTTTGTGTTGGGATTAACCAC